TGTGTGTGTGTGTGTGTGTGTGTGTGTGTGTGTGTGTGTGTGTGTGTTAAAATGTGGCCTTTTGCACCGTCACGCAGCGCAAAACAAACATCAACATTTTGCAAACTTTTAAATGCGTATTAGAGGAACTTCCTGCTGTTACAGGCTTTTCTCTCAGACTCCACTGATGTTTTGAACATAATCATGTTGGAAGTGACTCCTTTCATTAGCCTCTCCACCATCTGCTGTCGCTAGAAACACAGACGACGGGAGTTCTGGAGTGAATTAACGTGAAAAAAGTATTTAACAGTAATAGAATGTAAATCTTTCAAGTTGTTCCGATACCAGTATTGGAAATGACTCTGCTGCAGTCTAAAATGCTGGATTGGGTATCGACAAGTAAGCGAGTCAATGCACCGATCCAATATCATGCTCATTTACGCAAAATGTCATTTTTTGGGGCAATATTTGACCCTGTTTTTAACACACTGGTATCGGTCGATACACAAGTTCAGGTATTATGAAAGTATGTTTACTTTTAGCAGTTTGAAAGTTAATTCCTTTGACTTTTCTTTGCCCTCGTAGGAGCTGCGTTCGGCAGGCTTGTAGGGGAGATCATGGCCACCCTGTTTCCTCATGGGATCGTGTTCGATGGCATCCTCTACCGCATCATCCCCGGAGGCTACGCAGTCATTGGTCAGTCTCCCTTTTTCCGCCTCTTGTGCAATCCTTCTCTCATTAGCTCCATCCCATTTTCTTTGCATGTTGACAACTGAAACGTTCAGTTTCTTATGCGGCAAGACTAACATGTCATGGGCAACGACAGGGAAACCAGCATTCAGACCTCCCAGTACCTCACAGGCACCTTCTCTCTGATTGCTAATAATCATCAACAAGTATTTCTTATTGTAAAAACCTCCTTTTTATCAAGCTGTCCACCTCCCCTGTGCCTCCTCCCTGTCCTCCTCTTCCTCCTCCTCTCCTGTCACCTCTCTCATCTTCCTCCTCCTCCAGCTCCCCCCCATCCTCATCCTCCTCTCCCTCCTTTCCATCAGAGCATGTGGCCACTTTGCTGTGACAGTTAAATGTCACAGTGGGTTCCCTCTGCCGTCCTCACCTCAGCCAGCGACCCAGAAACGTGGCCTTCCTTCAATCCCCCTCCTGTTCCCCTACAAAGCCCCATCGCTCCTCTTTCTCCCGTGATCCCTCCTTACTTCCTTGGTATTCCTACTGATGTTTCCTTCCTTTTTATTCTTCTATCCTGTTATCCTCCTCTCTTCAATATCTTTTACCCTTTTGTTTGCTTCCTGTTTCCTCTCATGCACCTTCTTATTAATCGATTTCTTCTTCTGAACCCTTTCACCGTCTCTCCCTTTTTTCACTCAGCACTTTTGTCGTGTCTGATTATCTTTTTTCTTTTTGATGTGAGTCTGACTGACTCTCCAGTTCCTCCTTCATTTCACCTGCACCCTCTGTCTTTTCTTCTTTGCCTTGATCTTTTCTTCCTGCCTAGATTATCTTTTCCTCAACACGACTACATCTTGTTTATTCCCTCTGTCTCTCTCTCTCTCTTTACTCCATCCTCCCGTGTCTTCTTACTTCTACTACTCCCCACTTCCTCCCCCTTTTTCTTCTTTAACGTTCATCCTTTCCTCCTGTTTCCCCACCTTCTCTCCCTCTCTATCCATCCTTCACCCCCCCCTCATCCCATCCCACTTCTCTGACAGGAGCGGCAGCTTTGACCGGGGCCGTGACTCACACGGTGTCCACGGCGGTTATCTGCTTTGAGCTGACGGGGCAGATCTCCCACATCCTGCCCATGATGGTGGCAGTAATCCTGGCCAACATGGTGGCCCAGGGCCTGCAGCCCTCCCTGTACGACTCCATCATCCAGGTCAAGAAGCTCCCGTACCTGCCGGAGCTCGGCTTCGGGCACATGAGGTTTGTGCGGATTTCACACGGCAGACCGTAAATGGTCAACACTCATTGGCTTCTTTTGGAGATAGTTCTTTCCTGCAGTGTTTTCATCTTACGATTTCAGATCAGGGAACTTTCCAGTTAGGATCTTCAAGACACAGAGCTGCAGTCTTAAAGTTATAGTGTGCAGGAGTTAGGGGGGTCTATTAGCAGAAAGGGAATATAATAGTCATTATGATGTTGTCATTAGTGTATAATCACCTGAAACTAAGAATCGTGAAGGCCACCGTAGTTCCCCAACACGCTTGCAGAGGGAGGGGCGAGTGAAGGCCTATTCGGTTGGTTGCAATCTGCATCCTCACCACCAGATGCCACTAAATCCTGAACACTGTAGCTCGAAGATCTAACTTCTTCTTCCGGTTAATGAAGAAGAGTGATTTACTTGCGCAGTGCTCTTTGAGGGGTGCATTTTCCTTTCACAACTTGATTTGCGTATTATTTACTTAACGTTGGTACACGTAGGTGTGTACAAGTGGTTTCAGTTTACCATCGGTGCATCTGTGTGTCCGTCCTGCAGCCAGTACAACATCGTGGTAGAAGACATCATGGTGAGAGAGGTGAAGTTCATATCGTCTCAGTCCACATACAGAGAAGTCAAACTCCTGCTGGACTCCTCCTCGCTCAACTCGATCCCACTGGTCGACTCCAAAGGTAAACGAGCTCACTGTCAACTTAATATTTCCAGGTGCCTTAAAACAAAATGGAATGAAAAATAGAATTTGAACGAAATGTCTTGGAAGAATACTTGAACTGAAATCATGAACATTATCATAGTAGTTCAGCCGCTGTTGAAGTCTGTGTGGGGATAACTCTTGCTCTTCCTCCTCCTCTTCCTGCTTCCAGACTCTATGATCCTATTGGGCAGCATTGACAGGTTGGAGCTTCTGGCTCTCTGTGATTGGTGGTTGTCACCAGAGAGGAGGCTCCTGATGCAGGTGAGGACGTCAGAGACCACAGCTCAGTGTCATAGAAACGTTGCATGTACGCTGCAGATGACATCCTGTGGATCATTGAATGTGATATGTTAAAACAAGTATGCAGATATGATAGTAGTTATTAACCCTATAGTTCACTGTTTCTTCTACCTAAATAACAAACAGGTTATGTGTTATGATGATTATGTCCGTAAATCAGGCGGCTTAGTGCCTCTTGGCTTTAGTGGAAGCTGTTTTTGTCAGAGAGAAATAGTTTGAGGATCCATGGACCAGTGATTCGTATCAAGAAAGATTCCATGAAAGGAAACTTCTCTCCGAGAAACTCAAAACTGATAAATAATTCTAAAATGTTTGATAAATGTGGCGATGGAGAAAGACCACATGTCCACATAATTAAGTCTAATCTAAGCAAATGTTTCCTGAAAACTGCAACGCGTTTGTAACACAAAGAGGGCGGAGACACGACTGTAACAGCTGACAGTAGAAATGTAAACATTGTATCAATTGTTTGTTTGTTTTGTGTGTTGACTCCACTCAGGAAAGTCAAACAGTCGTCTACTGTTCTGGATTTTGAAAGAAACCTCAAATCTCAACTAGTACAACTTCAATTCATGCCTTTTTTGGTTCTTAAAATATTTTTTGTTTTATTTTAGTAGTATTTATTTGGATTTAATTTGAGTTTCATTTAGTTTTAGTCAATTTGCAAAGTGCCTTTGCTCGTTTTTAGTTTCAGTTTTTCAGAAAAAAAGTATGTACCTTCATATATATATTCACATATATTCACATATACACATATATTCACATATACACATATATATGTATATATATGTATATATGTGTGAATATATGTGTGTATATATATGTATATGTATATGTATATATATATATGTATATATATATATATATATATATATGTGTATATATGTATATGTATATATATATATGTATATGTATACATATATATGTATACATATATATGTATATGTATATATGTATATATATGTATATGTATATATATGTATATATATGTATATGTATATATATGTATATGTATATATGTATATATATGTATATGTATATATATGTATATAATCTGTGGTTCAATATCACGAAGGTTGACAGAAGTTCATGCCGTCTGTAGTGATATATTATGATAATTTTAATTTAATTTGAATTCGTATTTTTCATGTTTATTTTCATTTTCTTTTAAATTTAAGATAACTGCTTCAAATAAAGAACAGGTGTTAAACATGGTATAATAATTCATTACAACTCTGATATTGATCTGCTCACATGATTGTGGATTCAGGGTGAGAGCCTACAGGAGCAGAACCAGTCTCAGAAGCACAGCTGGGAGTCCCTCGCCTTCGTGGATGAGGAGGAAGAGGAGGACGACGGAGAGAAGGTGGAAAGATGAATATGTTTTATTACATTTATTCATTTGTTCATTACTTCGCTGCTCGTTATTCATCCGCTTTTCCTTTTGTATTAGCTGACAGCACTTCTCTTTTGTTTTCAGTTTAAACCATCTCATCTTGAGATGAGACATCATTTTATTTTACCATTTGTTGTGAAAGCTGCTTTATTATTAATATCTATCGTCTGCAGGGCAGCCCGGTGCAGGAGGAGAGGAACGGCCCTCTGCCTCCTCCGAAGCCTCAGGAGTCCTCCCCGAACCACACTGCTCCTGTTCCTGGTGAGCTGACAGGACCTCATACACCTGAGTACATCTTTAGTTTATATATATATATATAT